TCTCTCACCTGCTGCTCTGCCTGCTTCCTCTCCTCTGCCTGACTCAGGAGGAAACCTTCGGCCAGGGCCACCGCCTGGGAAGTGGTCTCCGCTCCGCATTCCCTCACCCAGTTCTCCATCTCCGGGGGAAGGACAGCCAGGAACTGCTCCAAGATCACCAGGTCCAGCATCTCAGCTTTCGTGTGCCTTTCTGGCTTCAGCCATTGACAACAAAGGTGGTAGAGTTGGCTGCAAACCTCTCGGGGTCCTTTGGCCTCCTGGGAGAAGAACTGCCTGAGCTGCTGGCTCTGCAACTCTGAGCAAGGGGTGTCCTCCTCACCCAGGATCTTCTGCACGGAGTTTTCCCCGAATCCCCCACTGCTCCCCGTTTCCATGGCATGGCCTCTTCCTGCTTCAGGGCCAGCTGAGTCTTGCTCATCCATCTGGGCTCCCGGGAAGTCTCCAAGAGATCGGAAGGAGCCCCTTGGTCCTCTGCCAAGTTCTAATGGAAGGTGCAGCAAATCCTATGAATCAAACACACTATTCTACTGTAAGATCAATACACAGCCAAGAGAAGAAGAATGTTCCTTGAGGAAGCATGGATGACTCTTCCTAGGAACCAGGGCTGGATTGAGGACTGGGGTAAGTTTACGGAATATCTGAAAACTGTATGTGATGAACAGACAACGCTAGTGGGCTTTAAAGAGGCTTTGTGATAATACAAGGTATACAAGGTATATTGTAAGAAAGAAACTGAGATGGAAGGCTATTATCAAATCGGCAATACTACATAGAAAATGTGTAAAGATATGAAAAATGGATGATTGAGGGAGGTACTGGTGGAAGTTCAAAAACTGTAAATTGGTAAACATGGTTGTCAAAATTATTTGTTAAAGAAAAACTTAATAAAAAATTAATTTATAAAAAAAAGGAACCAGGGCTGGATTGCCACCGTCCCTGTTGTTGTTGTTGTGTAGTCGTGTCCGCCTCTTTGTGACCCCCTGGACCAGAGCAGGCCAGGCCCTCCTGTCATTCACTGCCTCCCGCAGTTTAGTCAAACAAATAAAGAATTAGGGAGGGGAAATGCCCGACATACAGAGATTTATGAATAGAGAGAGAAGCTAAAGCGGTTAGTAAGTAGAGGTATTCCTGTCCTTCTCCTTCATGGTCTTTCCCTCCTAATATCCTTCTCCCTCATAATTATGTCCCTCTTAATATCCTTCTCCCTCACAATTATGTCCCTCTTAATATCCTTCTCCCTCACAATTATGTCCCTCTTAATATCCTTCTCCCTCATAATAATGTCCCTCTTAATATCCTTCTCCCTCATAATAATGTCCCTCTTAATATCCTTCTCCCTCATAATAATGTCCCTCTTAATATCCATCTCCCTCATAATAATGTCCCTCTTAATATACTTCTCCCTCATAATAATGTCCCTCCTAATATACTTCTCCCTCATAATAATGTCCCTCTTAATATCCTTCTCCCTCATAATTATGTCCCTCTTAATATACTTCTCCCTCATAATAATGTCCCTCTTAATATCCTTCTCCCTCACAATTATGTCCCTCCTAATATCCTTCTCCCTCACAATTATGTCCCCCCTAATATACTTCTCCCTCATAATTGTGTCCCTCTTAATATCCTTCTCCCTCACAATTATGTCCCTCTTAATATCCTTCTCCCTCACAATTATGTCCCTCTTAATGTCCTTCTCCCTCATAATAATGTCCCTCTTAATATCCTTTTCCCTCATAATAATGTCCCTCTTAATATCCTTCTCCCTCATAATAATGTCCCTCTTAATATCCTTCTCCCTCATAATAATGTCCCTCTTAATATACTTCTCCCTCATAATAATCCCCCTCTTAATATACTTCTCCCTCATGTCCCTCTTAATATACTTCTCCCTCATAATAATGTCCCTCTTAATATCCTTCTCCCTCATAATAATGTCCCTCTTAATATCCTTCTTCCTCACAATTATGTCCCTCCGAATGTCCTTCTCCCTCCTCACTGTCTTCCAGTCCCACCTCCCTGGCCAGGGCCTGAGGTCCCTCTGGCTCCCTCCCGGACCCCCAGCCTCTCTTCCCTCCCCTTCCCGCCTCCCGGGGCAGGGAGTTCCCCAGGCTTCCCCCGAGAGGAGACCCACCAGAGCCCGCCAGGCGAAGGCGAGGCTGCTCTGACTGGAAGTGACGTCAGAGGGGAGGAGCGGCCCGCCTTCCTTTCCTGTCCTCTCTAGGAAGCCAGCTCGGCGCCTCTTAACCCTTGGCGAGCCGGGCGCGCCCCGCTCATCCTTCTCTCTCCCTGCCGAGGAGCCCGGGGCGTCAAGAGGGCGGCAGGGAAGAAGCAGGACCCAGAACCCGGGACTGGGCGCGTGTGCGTGTGAAGTCTCTCTGGCTTGGCGCTTGCTGGTCATTTTCTGACAGGAATTTTTTAATCAAAGAACTCATTTATTAAACTGGTTGTTCTGTGTCTCTGGGTACGTTTCTGTGTGGGTTTTAACTTCCTATCCCACCTCTGCCCCCAATTAATATGCGACGGCGCAAGGGCTCTCCCCCCCCCCCCCGGCAGCCTTGGGCCCGTTCTCTCTCCTAAATAAAGTGCACCCACCTCACAGAACACAATTCCCACAAATGCCCTCCAACTACCTCAGATTATCTTGTGGGGACTTGCGTGAGGTAAAACTCACTAATTGGGAGTCTCAGGCAGGATTTCTTCAAATAAACATTAACGATTTTATTTAACAAGGAAGTTTATGACATGAGTGGATAAAACTTAGGATACCTCAGTTTACAATGTTATTTCCCTTCAAGGTTTTCTCAGTTGTTTCACACGTAATACTTTGGCTCTTAACAAGGTGGCACTTTCTGCCAGTCACCCTACTCCCGAGGTACTCCATGCCAAAGACCCAAGGGATCTCTGGTTTGGGAGTCTTCTCTTTCTAGAAGGATCTCTCCCCTCCTGACTGGGATGAGAGCTCAGCAGCCGGTCTCCTTCCAGCTCCTCCTTCTCCTGGCTCAGCCTCCCACTTCATTCCTGGCCTGATTTACTCTCCCAGGACACCACACACTGTCCTTCCCACTAAGCTCAGAGACTCCTTTCTCTAGCTGGTGATCTTTTCCTCAGAGTGGATGTTTCCACCCAGAACCAGCTCCTCTCACTCCCCATCTTCCCCACCTCCCTCCAGAGCTCCTAGCCATGGGGGGAACTGGGCCCAGGTCTCCCTCCTCCAGCTCCAGGGCTCTTAGTCTCTCCGCTAAACCACATGGGGCGTCTTTGGGTGTAGGATATTCTCCTAGGGGCCCCAACCTGCCACTTCCCCTGAGCTTCTTGACCCCTCCCCAAAGGAGCAAGACAAGAGTTGCAGACCTCCTGCTACTTGCAGCCTCCCTGGCTTTGCAGAGAGGAAGGAGGGCAGAACCTCTTAGCCCTGGCTTGGGGATCCCCTTGCAGGAGCTGAGCAGAATCCCCACGGATCCCCATCATGACTCCCTGGCCCTCGTGGCTGTTCTTCTGAGCCCTTGCAAAGCGGAGCTCGCCCTGCTCCCTTGTCTCTCTCTCTCTCTCTCTCTCACGAGCCAGGGCCCCAGAGGGGTCTTCTTTGGGGGACCCTCCCCTGCAGCCCTGGGACCCCCCATCTCCCCAAGGCAACTCACCGGATCACAGAAGGCGCCCCCAGGCAGCACATGCGGAGCAGAGAGACAAAAGCCCGGATGGGGGCGGAGGTTTTGCTCTGGGGAGCCTCCTCCCTTTATTCCTCTCTAGGAAGCCAGCTTGGTGCCACTTAACCCTTTTGCTGGTCCCTCTCTGCCTGCGGAGGAGCCCCAGGCTTGGCGCAGGCACAGAGCTGCTCCATCGGGGGACTTTGGGGGCCTTGCAAGCTTCTCCTTCCGCGGGGAAGAGATTTCTGTACATCTCAAGAGCAACAAGAATGTATTCCTTCCCACCCTTTACTTGAGAAGTAAAACTCTGCAAGTGTTTGGCTCCAGAGTTGGTTCCGACTCTCTGAACAAAGAGGAAGGAAAAGGGGGTCCTGCAAGGAGAGGATGAGGGGAAGACCCCCTTTTCTAGGGGCGGGGGAGAGGGACTGGGCTCCCGGGTCAAGAGAGCACCTTGTATCCTGGCACTGAAAAGACACCCTCCCAAAACACACACACTTTGTGGCATCTCCTTTTGGCAAAGGGTCAAAACATAGTTCCAACTTGAAAACCACCTCCAGGACCAGGCACCCTCAATGGGCTTTGCACTACAACTCCCAACCGGGCCTGCCAGCAGAAGGCAGGGGGGATGGAAACAGCCGTCCAAAAGGTCCAGCCAGCTCCAGAGGCGACCCAAGGCTGCTCTCCAACGGGGCGCTGCTCCAGGCATCTGAGTTGCCCAGTTCAAGGGAGCTGGCGGGACTAAGAACCGGGGTTCCTGAATTGCAGGGGTTGGACTAGATGAGCCTGGAGTGTCCTCTTCCTGGATTCCTCATCTGGCTCCCAATGCCACGGCTGGAATGTCTCCCAAAACTGCCCCCCCTTTCACAAGGAGGTCTCCCCCCCCCCCCGTGTCTTAAACTACCCTTTGACTGGCAACCATCTCCAATCTCCTTGCTGGACAATCCCAACCAAAGATGCATTAGATTCTCTGAAATCTACTCAGGAGTCCTGTAGTGATTTCATGCTCTTTATTGCAGCTTGTAAAACAGTGATTTAATTGCACCCCAAACCTCAGTCTGTTATATACATTATTTGCACAATCAGTCCCGTCTGACTGGCCGATTCTGCTTCCCTCCTGGAGCCTGATTGGTCTTTTCCTGAAGGCCAATCAGTTGTTGCATTCTAGGATCCTACTTGCCTTTTATTCTAGGATCAAAGCTTAGTACATAACCTTCTCCTTCCTCAGTGTCCCCAATTCTTAAATTGGCTTTATTTCAAAACAGGGTGGGGGGTAGAGATGGCTTAGTCTTCCAAACAACCCTTTATCCATTAGTTAGTAGACAAGCTTCCCAGTGCAAGGAGAGGAAAGCAGACCCCTGAGCCCAGCCTGGCCCCTCACCAAATGCTGCCCGCATGCCTTGAGGCCCCAAGGTGGGCGGAGGAAGGCCTGGAGGGCAGCTGCTGGCTGGGACTTTGATTGGGGCAGGGTGGGGACACAGGGAGAGGGAGACAGGAAGACCGGCCAGGGGGTTTCACTGGGGGGATTTATTCACATTGGTTTTCTATCCAAACCAGGCCTGGGCCCGGGCCAGCTTGCCAAAAATCTTAGACCCTGCCAGGGTGGCGAGGACATGGCTGACCATTGGCACCGTTTATGCATGAGCCATAAGGGCCTTCTTTATGGTACATTTGTGGACTGAGCCATTGGGCTTGACAGGTGTGATGACTTAGGTTTCTCAGGGGGCATTAGGCACCGGCTCGAGCACTCCTTGCTCCACAAGCCGGTCTAATTCCACTCCCAGCCACTCCGCTCAACCCTTTGCTAAAATCCTGCTCTCCTCCCTCCTCTCCGTCTCAGAGGCTGGGCTTTCTGTCTCATCTCAAGGACCGCCAAAGCGCCCGCAATTGCCTCTTATCTTCCACCCAAACCGTCCACATCAATCCTAAGCGTCTCCTGTTCTGATTTCCATTTTTTGTCTTCTTTTCCAGCTTTTCAGACTTCTCCTCCCTTCCTTTCATGGAGATATCTAGTGCTTCTGTTTTCTTTGTCAGTGTCTCTACTTTAGCAGTCAAATTTGTCACCACTTAATGATTTTTATCAATTCAGGCTAATAGCTTCTCCAAATTTAACACAGGCCTGGTGTTAACTGTTTTTGAACTGCCATATTCAAAATCTCCCTCTCCCTTGTTCTCAAAGCAGCCTGTTTTCCAGCAGCACCTTATCAGTTTGTCAAGGTCACAGAATAACTCTTTCCTAAGAGATCCTGTTTCCTGCATTTTTCCAGCCCTCCCTCTTCCTTCCAGCCTGATCCCCAACACACATAATATGTTTAACATAAAATCCAATTTCTCAAATTAAGATTCGAATTAAACAAATGAACCAAATAATTACTTTGAGCGGAACCATAAAAAAGAAAATAGAAAGAATGTGTCCAAGAGGACATAGCAATTTAGATGTCCAGATAAGAGTGGTTGTCTTGCAGGAATCCAATTATCTTTAAGTGGCTCTGAGTAGAAAAAATATTTTTCTTCAAAGAGAAAAAAACTTGTCCAAACCTGTCTTGATTTTAGCTTTTTCAGGGAGCTCTAAGTCCTTTTAAGAGCTCCAATTGTGTTAAGAACATTAAAAATGAAACCAAACTTTCATAAATCCCTCCGATCACACTCTTGGCACTGAAATAGTTTCTACCCTGTGAGAATTCTCTGATGGGAAATGAAATTGTTGCTCTGACTGAAGCTCTTTCCTCATTCCACGCACTGTTAGGGTTTATCCCCTGTATGGATTTTGTGATGGGATGTGAGATTTTCTTTCCTGGTGAAGCTCTTTCCACATTCCAGACACTGATAGGGGTTTTCCCCTGTATGAATTCTTTGATGGGAAGTGAAGCTTATTTTCCAGGTGAAGCTCTTTCCACATTCCACGCACTGAAAGGGTTTCTCCCCTGTATGAATCCTTTGATGGGAAGTGAGATGGGCCCTCTGATTGAAGCTCTTTCCACATTCCAGGCACTGACAAGGTTTCTCCCCTGTATGAATCCTTTGATGGGAAGTGAGTTCAGAGGTTGTCCTGAAGCTTTTTCCACAATCCAAGCAGTGATAGGGTTTCTCCCCTGTATGAATTCTACGATGGGAAGTGAGATTGTACCTGTGACTGAAGCTCTTTCCACACTCCAAGCAGTGATAGGGTTTCTCCCCTGTATGAATCCTTTGATGGGAAGTGAGCTTGGACCTCTCATTGAAGCTCTTTCCACATTCCAAGCACTGAAAGGGTTTCTCCCCTGTATGAATTCTTTGATGTGAAGTGAGATGGGCACTCCGATTGAAGCTCTTTCCACATTCCATGCACTGATAGGGTTTTTCCCCGGTATGAATTCTTTGATGTGAAGTGAAACTATGCTTTCTAATGAAGCTCTTTCCACATTCCACGCACTGAAAGGGTTTCTCCCCTGTATGAATCCTTTGATGCAAAGTGAGTTCAAAGCTCGTCCTGAAGCTTTTTCCACATTCCACACACTGATAGGGTTTCTCCCCTGTATGAATCCTTTCATGGCAAGTGAGATTGGCACTCCGAGTGAAGCTCTTTCCACATTCCACACACTGATAGGGTTTCTCCCCTGTATGAATTCTTTGATGGGAGGTGCGGGAGGAGCTATCAGTGAAGCTCTTTCCACACTCCAAGCAGTGATAGGGTTTCTCCCCTGTATGAATCCTTTGATGGGAAATGAGCTTGGCCCTCTGGTTGAAGCTTTTTCCACATTCCACGCACTGATAGGGTTTCTCCCCTGTATGAATCCTTTGATGGACAGTGAGATTGGCACTCCGAGTGAAGCTCTTTCCACATTCCAAGCATTGATAGTGTTTCTTCTCAAGGGGATTTCTTTGATGGGAAGTGGCATGGGAGCTCTGACTGAAGCTCTCTCCACAGTCTGAATCCTGATATGGCTCCTCCACTGTGTGGATTTCGTTGTGGTCTCCCTTGTTCTTCATTTCCAATTCATCACCACCTGAAACTAAGAGGCAAACGGATTAGAGTCTCGGGAAGAAGTGCAGTCCCAAATTATGGAACAATGCTAATTAATGCTTGGGAGAGGCGAAGAACTGAAGGGAGTTAGGACTTCCGGGTTAGCGTCTCTGGTAATGGCTGAATTCCTCTGACCGGGAGGAATTCGCTTCGTGGAAATTAGGGTCTGACCGCCACGGCGAAGGTAGGGACCCACAAAAAATCACAGGTGGGTGAAGCCTGTGAACGTGGGATTCGGCTGGCACCTTTTGCGCCTCCCCTACTCGCAGGGAAACCCAGTTTCGGGGATCCGGAGCGACGTGGGGTGAGTGGCGCGGTGCTGCGAATTGACTGCTTCTTTCACGGAGTGAAGCCACATTGCTGTTGCCGGAGAACGCTGACTTTTTCCTGTGGACAATTCGATTTTAAAACAACTACCCGTGAGTAGAACGGAAAATTGGATTTTTTAACGTCTTAATTTGGTACCGAAACGGGGAGGTTTCAAACAGGAAGTCCGCCCTCCCCTTTTGTAAATAGACTGGAGCAAAAAAGCTACAAACTAACGTCTTGGAAAGCTTTCCATAAAGGATTAAACTTCCATTGGCTAAAATCATCAAACCCCCCTTGGAAGCAAGAGGAGAGGGGGGAATTTTTAGACCGCACAAGCCTGCAGGAGAGAGTGAAGAAAGTCAAATTACCACCGATCTGGCAGAATCCGAGACCAGGGAGAAGAGACGGTGGAAGAATATTGGAAAAAGTTTAAAATCTATATATGGAAATAATGTAAAATTAATGAATGTTAGAAAAATGTTGGAAGGAAATTATATGGCTTTAGTAGAAATGCTTTAAGGAATTAAGCATAAATAAGTAATTATAATTTTAATGGAAAATAAGGTTAAAATATGTTAAGATAATCATATGACAGAAAATAGAGAAAGATGGAAAGGATTTGCTGAAACAATTAATAGAAATGGAATACAAAAAGGGAGGTGAGAGGAGGTTGATAAAACAAGGGAATGAAAGAGAGGATATTGAGATGGTATGATGTGTGTTTTTGAACTGATTTTGCTTTTTTTAATGTGTTAATGTTGTGTCGTGTATTGTTTATATATTGTATTGTATTTTTCTTCTTCTTTTTTCTTCTTTCTTTTTTATAAGGTTTAAAAATAATGAATATTATTTTTTTTAAAAAAGAACTGAAGGGAGTTAGATATTATAATGTTCCTTTTGTTCTGTAAAAATGTCTAGTTTCCTATACAAATTAAGTTGAATATTATATGTTTTCTCTCTCTAGTTTTTAAAAGTACAGCTTAACCTGGTAATGTCATTTTGTTCAAATTTAAATATGGATCTGTACTATCTTCCTAAATAAAATGTGCTTTTATTATTACCGTATTTTTCGCTCTATTGGACACACCAGACCACAGGACGCACCTAGTTTTTAGAGGGGGAAATCAAGGGAAAAAATATTCCCCCCCCCAGCCCCAAAGAGCCACGGACAGGATGCGCACAGCCTGTCCGCTTCTCCTAGAGCTTCTCGGGGCTGCGGGGGAAGCCTGGGTCCCCCCCCCAGTCCCAAAGAGCAAAGAAACCAAGACAGCGAGCGGGATCCATAGCCGCTCAACCTCTCCAGCCAGGAGCTAAACCTCTCCAGCGCGGCTAGAGAAGAAGACAAGGCAGCAAGCGCGATCCATCCCACTCGCTGCCTTGGCCTCCTCTTTAGCCTTGCGCAGCATCTTTAGCCTTGCGAAATGGGATGGATCGCGCCCGCTGTCCACCGGGGCTGGACTAGATGACTCCTGGGGTTCCCTTCCGACCCTGCAATTCTATGACCACGGAAGGTGTTGGGGGTCTCCACCACTGGAGGCTTTTAAGCAGCGGTTGGGCGACCATCTGCCTGGCGTTCTTTAGCTGTGATTCCTACATTGTGAGGTGGCTGGGCTAGATGACCCTCGGGTGGACCTCCCAACTCCCAAGACCCGCGCGAAGCTTGTGTGTGGCTCTTGGGGGTTTTTCCTGCCTGCCTCCCCCCCCCCCCGCATTCGCTCCAAAGGACACACAGACTTTCCCCCTTAGTTTTTAAGACGGAAAAAGTGCGTCCTATGGAGCGAAAAACACGGTATTTAAAAGGTGGCCAAAGTGGGAAAGTTCCCTGTCCAAAATTAAGATATACAGTGTTACCTCGGGTTGCATACGCTGCAGGTTACATACGCTTCAGGTTACAGACTCCACTAACAGTGGCAGCAGGAGGCCCCATGAGCTAAAGCGGTGCTTCAAGTTAAGAACAGTTTCAGGTTAAGAACAGACCTCCAGAACGAATTAAGTTCTTCACCTGAAGTACCACTGTACTTAAATGTTACATTACTGTGAGAAGTTACAGGGGACGAGGCAGGGGGCCTTCTCGGTAGGGGCACCCACCCTGTGGAACGCCCTCCCATCAGATGTCAAGGAAATAACTATGTAACTTTTAGAGGACTTCTGAAGGCACCCCTGTATTGGGAAGTTTTTAATGTTTGATGTTTTATTATGTTTTTCTATTTGTTGGAAGTTGCCCAGAGTGGCTGGGGCAACCCAGTCAGATGGGCAAGGTAAAAATAATAAAATTATCATTATTGTTACTACAGGGTTCACTGCCTGAGATTCAAAAAGCCTGGCTCTGTTTTGTGATGGAATTTGTTTAGTTCAGTCGTGGAATCTGTGCCATCTCCAATGTCAAGCGACTCTTTGGTCAACCAGAGAGAGACAGAAGGAAGAACAAAAGCAGGAAACGTGACTGAAGCTACTTCAACACCTCAAATCACTCTGAAGCCTACATTTAAGAAGGCCTGGGCAGTTCAGACAGCCTGATCATGGTTTTAAACGGCAGAACTGGAGGAAGAATATTCACAGGGAAAACAATCAATAGCCATCCATCCAAGGTTTGCCGTGGGAGTGTTAACATCCCAGGTGCTGTGGGTGGCGCTGTTGAGCCCCATCAAAATATCAGAGGTTCGTCACATAGAGAGATGTCTTGAATTACAACACAGATAGGATGATCCAATAGGGAGCCTTACCGAGAGAGTCCAAGATCCCACGATTCTCCTCCATGACTTCCTTATGGAGAGCTCTCTGGTCAGGATCCAGCAACGCCCACTCCTCGTCTGTGAAATGGACAGCTACATCTTCAAAGCACACTGGACCCTAACAGAACAGAAAAAAGGATGTCCTCTTAGAGAACATTCACTTGGCTCTGTTGTTGTCTACAGCGGCCAGACCCCTCTCTGCCTTCCTCATCCCTCCTCTCTCCTGCTGCAGCTTCTGCCTCGGAGTCTGGGCTGCTCTCTGCCACAGACTCCCTCTGCTCCCTGAGCCCTCTTCCCTCTCCAGCTTCAGACCCCTCCTCCTCCTCCTCCTCCCAGTCGGCTCCCTCTTCTCTGGCTCCTCCCACCATTCCTCTGCATCCAACTGTGTCCAGCCAGTCTGCATCCAAGCAGTCCTTCCCCACAAGGCTCCTTCCCCCTACCTGATCTGGGTCCACAGCTGCTGCCTCCCCTCCACCACCATGAAAAGATGAAGGAGCAGGTCTTGGTGGCATCATTCCGTCACCTGGGAGAGACAAAGGTAAGTGGAAACCGTGAGCGCCTGCTTCTCTCAGAGGTGAAACAGTGCATCTCTCAGTACAGATGGGGCTTCGTCCAAGTCTCCCCTGCTAGCTTCCGGTTCCGCTCTGCCTTAATGGAGGCAGCGGGAGATCGTTGGCAAAGGAAAAACAAGGATGACTGAGGGTAATTCTCATCGCAAGTTTCCCTCAGGGACAGGGGGGAACGGGCTTCACTCTCAGTTCGTCTTGGTACCAGGCTCCGGCTCCGGCATGGATTGCGGGAGGCAGGGAGGCGCTGAGTGCAAAAGCCCTTCGTCTGCCAAAAACCCTGCTTCGCCGCCATTAAGAAGCAGAGGTTCTCCTGTCAATCAGAGCTCAATTTGGACTAATGTACAGGCGTTGCTGGAAGAGATGAGATCATAAACTGCGGCATTAAACCAGCTGCAAGGTCTTTAAGGTTTGAATTTGAAAATAAACTTCATTTGGTGCAAAAGACGGTGGGTGGGGGGAGGGGAGCCTATGGCTTCTTTATATAAAGTTTTCTTCTCTACACTAATGAATTGGCAGTCCGCCATTGGATACTAGTTCAAAATATATATGTACAGGTGAGCAGGGATGAAACTGGATTACAGATATGGAATATAACATCAAATGGAACTGTGTGTGTAAAAACAAAAAGGAAAAAGGGAGGGAAGCTCTATTTTGCAAAATGTTTACGATGGAAAATTAGAGCTGACTCTTCCCCGTCCTTTATTATATACAGACTTAACTGATTAATGCTAAAAGGACTTGGAATTTAATTTAATTGGATAAATGCACATTTATCTAAGGCCAGAGAGAGGGATGTAAGGAATCTGAAAGTTGTGTAGGAGCTGATAAGGTTCATTACTGAGTCATTTGCAGTTCTTACCGATCCCTCTCCTTCCCAGGCAGAGAAGAAAAATGGCAAAAACTGATTATTTATTGGGACAGTGAGATTTTTCCAGCTGCTGTTAAAGTTGCCAAACAACGAAGCACAGGACAGAGCGATGGAGAATTTCTGAAACCACAATGGGATATTAGCTCCGCCCAAGGAATGATGGAGAACAGCAACAACCAGGAAAAGATAGACAGAACATTTTACAAGGACAGGAAGAAACATCACCAACAGAAAGATTGCCACACACAGGAAGAGTAAGGATACAGCTGGAGTGCCTCACTTGCTGTTGCTGCACCGTGAGTGTTGGGGAAGGCCGCTCCCTCCTCAGGCTAATTCCATCTGGCCTAGGGGGCGGGGCCCAGACTCACCTTCGCCACA